AACCACAACATGTGTCGTGAGTGAAACTAAACTCACTTTGAGATATATATATATATATATATATATATATATAAAATATAATAAATATAAATCTGCTAAAAGTTCTTTTGTCAACTTTTAGGTGTACCACTTTTGTTTTTTTACCAGTTGAGAAACACTGATTGAAATAACTATGGTATGCAATGAAAAGGAAAAACAAAGTACCTACATTTTGTCAAAATTGAGTAATGACTGAAAGCAAGGCTCTCTGAGTATGATCTGTCTTGTTACTGATGGATTTGGCTCACCTATACTAAGATTTAGACAACTACAGAGTGTGAATACTGATACCAAATAAACTAAAATTAAATTATGTTTTTATATAAACCTATGAAGCAATTTTTCACAATTCCAGTGTTGCCGTAGTAACTGTTTTGAATTTGTATGGCACATGGCTGGCAAAGAAAAAAAAAATCTTAAATAAAAAGCATACATTTCTGCTTGCTTACCACTGGCAAATTTTGGAATAATACCATCTATATAACCGTAAGGACCCAGAATCAACCCTGTGATTGATGGATCGATACTGTGGAAAAGAGCACAAACAGGGAAATCAGACATTCATTCAATCAATATAAAAATAATTGTTTTAAATGTTAGAAAAAATAATAATAACCTGAATTGCATCTTCAATAAATACAACTGCCTGCTGGATATAGAGGTCTGCATCTGTGTTAAAGGAAAAACAAATAAACAAACAAATTAATAAATAAATTAAAAGTTTTAGTTGTGAATTTTATTCATGCGTTTGACTTTTTTGCGAAAATGTCCCAAAAGGTTTAGCACTGGAGATCTTGTAATATTAAACAAAGTTAAACTATTAAATTCTCTGTAATCTAAACAAAAATATAGTAAAAGATATTTTGGCTCCTTAAAAATTATTCCAATATTGCACTCCCAATTTAACCACTCGCAGAGCAAAATCTGGTGCAAAGTTTACAGGATCATTCTATGGCCTGTACCTCTACCCTGTGTTGAAAAATATATATATTCTGAATGTAAAACTATGTGTATAAGCATATTTTTAAGTGTCACCGGATATTCAGGAGCTACCAAACCTGAACTTCTCAACAGGAAATGAGCCAGCAAATCCAAACCATCCTTGAGCGATTACGTTAAGTAGAACAATAAAGAGCCACTGAAAGTTTCATCTGACTTCGTACTGGAGACATAAAATAACTAACACGCACATATTTTACTATACAACTAACAGCAATATATTTTTACAGCATTTATTAACCTTTGTTGATGTTTTTTTTAATCTTATGTCCATGTTAGTTCAGTTTATCTATTGCTAACATAAAAGTCATAAATGTTGATAACAATTAACCAAGATTAATAAACGCTGTAGATGCACTGCTATTTGTTAGTTCGTGATAACTAACTTAGCCAACTAATGTCGACGAATAAAAACTTTTTTCGAAACATGCCAAAATCACAGACTAAGACAAACTAGTCAGTTTGACATTCAGATTACCTTGCTTGTTCCGAATTGTATTTTGCAACACTTTTTATAACAAGTCTGAACAAGAGTTTCACACATCCACCCAAAACACCTTTAGCTGCCCCAGACTTCTGCTAAAATATGAAAACTAATATTTGACAAGTATTACATTAGCTGTAAACAATAAACATAGATTTTCAATATGTCCAACTCTCTTCACTTGTAATTTGATGAAAGCAACAAATGAAGTCAAAGTAGATGACCTGCAGAGGCAATAAGAAGACAATGGTGTGTTTGTCTGACAGCAAAGACAGAAACCAAACAGAGCTGAATGACTATGATACCAGCCTCACAAAGCCACAACCTTTAGACTTTTATTAAATAACACACAGAGATAAAGAATAAACTATAAGACAGCAGAACAAGCTTGGGGAACCGTTTTAAAGGACACTTTTGTCAGGTCAGACTGATAAAAACATACGTACCCTCGCACACAGGGTAAGAATCGTCAGTCACTGAATAGAGTCGTCTTGATCCTGGTGATTCTTCATTTTGATAATGTTCACCTTTATCATGAGATCCATAATCACCTGAGTCCCGGTTAATGCTGCCAGTCAGTAGCGGCTCTTCTTCTTCCATCGAGACAATCGCTACAAGTCTCCAAATATGCTAAATAAATCCCAAACAGGGCGTTAAAGATATCGGTAGTGACGAAGGACAAACCTAAACGAGTCTTCTGCCCATGTCTGTAAATAAAGTGACAGTCTCGCTAGTAACCATAGTGGAGACGCACTTGTTTTTATTCCCAGTCAGTGTAACATTACAGCGCGAGCAGCAGAGCTCGAGGTGTTTTTAGGAGCCGTCAACTCCTCAGCTCACGCGCTCACTCCAATGAAACTTTCTGCTCGCTCATGTCAGAGCACTCGCTAGTCAAGTCTCATTTCACCGAATCGGTTCGAATGAATCTTTACAATGAATCAGTTCACCCTCCAAAAACCCACTTGTTGAATCACGTTTTCGTTACATTCTGATGTTTTCCCGCAATGTTTTATATATTAACTATTATATAGAGCTCGTCACATGCTGAGGTTCAAGGTGTTTTTGAAGGCAAGTGATAAAACACTGTGCGAATCGGTTCAAAAGAATCACTGAAAAGAACTCATTCGAAAGAAGAGCATTATCTTCTGCCGGTGTTATATTGCGTTCCGTCGATCAAATAAACGTCCGTCTTTGTTTATAATGAAGGGTCATTTTATTCTAGGCAAATGGTTGGGATTTATGAGCCTATAGAGTTCAGCTTCACCTAAATTTTCCTTCGAGTTCATTTGCGTCATGAGCTGCAAACGGATTGAGCAAGCGTGGGAATTTACTTGCGACACTCTTAATACGGGTTATAATAACAGTTAAATAATACATTAATAAATCTCCCTGAAATAAACGTTTTTCTTCTCATTTATATGTATATAAAACGTTTGCGCGCGCGCGTGTGTGTATGATAGCTGTACTAACGTGTGTGTGTTCAGACCGTTTCACACATACAAAGAGGAAGACAATTCTCTTAACACCCAACTCGTCCACATCCGCTCTCTCATGCGTTCTGCCTTAAGACAACTTTAAAGTACCGTTCAAACTTTAAAATATCTTTCAAATCTACATTTGTACGCCATAATGAATAAAAAATGAAAATCACCCTTTTATTTTGTTTTTATTGTTTTAATTCGTAATCAATTAATTGCATTTTTGCCCTCACCATCACATTATATCCTGTTAGTCTTTGAAACTATAATATCTAAACAAAAAGCCGCTTCCAAAATCATTTTTTAGGAAGTGTTTGGTGGGAAAACTATAACCTGCGGCTTTTCAACAACACAGACAGAAGTAGCACTAGCGAAAGATATATATATATATATATATATATATATATATATATATATATTAAAAAAAGATGATTTGCTGTATTAGTTGGTTTGTCTCACTTTAAAACGTTCCATTCTGTTTTCCCACGTCAACACTTATTTATTATGTTTTTACATTTCAAAAATTACCCTCAAGTTAAAAGCATAGTTCATCCCAAAGTGAAAATCCTCTCATTATTTACTCATTCTCATGTCATTCGAAACCTGCATGACGTTCTTTCTTCTGGGGTCGTAAAATATAAGATATTTTCAAGAACAACCATGTCTATAAAAATAAAGTCAATGGTAACCAAAACAGTTTGGAGTGTCACAAGCTCTGCAAAGACTAAAGTCTGAAATCCAAAGAGATATTCTTTATAAAAGTTAAGAGTCAGCCACGCCTACCTAAAACGGCTCGTTCTAACACGCCCCCACATATCTACATCACTATGTGGGAAGATTTGCATAACGCCGCCCAAATGTTTACGGAAAGAAAGAAGGCGTAACTTTTATTCTCACTGTAGTTTTGCTGTTGCCGCCGCCGCCGCCATGTCGTGAAGGCGCTGTGTGTTTCGTTGTGAAAGCAAAACTACTTTGTTTGGTCTTCCAAAAGAGGACGATATCTGCTTCATCATGCCTAGAGCTGATCTGTGCTGGTCGCTGAGGGAATGCTACAACTTTGCGCTGTGGATCGCCGGTCGTCACATGTGGTTGCCGCTCCTTCGTCGAATCCGTAGGGCATCGTCACAATATGGTAAGTGGCGTAACATTTCCGTCACACGCTTGAGGTATTCGGCCAATCAATCAAAACGCACTGGATAGCTGACCAATCACAGCACACCTCGCTTTTTCAGACCGATGAGCTTTGTAAAAATCGAGGCGTTTCAGAAAGGCGGGGCATAGAGGAGAAACAATAATGTACAGTATGTGGAAAATAATGTTTTTTGAACCTTAAACCGCATAAACACATTTCATTACACCAAATACACAAAATAATGTTATTTTTAGCAACATCATATGACCCCTTTAAAACAAAAATACTTTGGAACAACATGAGGGTGAGTAAATAATGACAGAATTGTCATTTTTGGGGTGAATTATCCATTCCTGTTTTCTTGCAGATAATCAAGCTACAATTTAGAAACCTTAAGTGCCTGAGCTTTACCAAAGCATACTATATAAAGAGCATAATCCTCTTTATAGAAATATTTATTATATTGCAGAGTTCTGCAAGGAATGACCCAGTCATCACTGTTATATCACTGGCATGCCTGTGTTCTTGAAAAATGCTGCAGTCATTTAATTTGCTTGGTTATAGAGTCATTTACATCTGGGCAAATATGGTTGTTTCTTGGCAAATTATTCAATGAAAGATTATGAAAGTACAAGTTATAGATATCTTATTTAACAGTAACTGCATATGAACAATTTCATGTATTGTTTTATTTTTAAACAACCATTACCATACACAATTTCAATAATCGCAAACCTGATTATTTGCATTATAATGCGAACATAACTGAAGACATTATTTAGGATTTATACATCCTAAGAAAAACAATAACTAGAACAAGTTGCAGTGCATGTGCAGCCAAACAGAAAGAGTGCAGAGAACTGCTGAGCGCTCACTATAACATCAGCGGCCGAGATGAATCTTTGGACCAAGGATCAATGGCTTCTGATAACAGTTGTACATACACCTTCCATATCACGCCATCATAGCCACCTATACAACAGAAAAACAGAATGGATTTCATACAAATAGAAAAACTACATACAGACATCTTCAGACAAACATTTACATCTATCTATCTATTAACCATATATCTATTAACCATATATATATATATATGTGTGTGTGTGTGTACAGTATTTGTGTAAAGTTTCAATAGTAAAGCTTGTATAATACAGCCTAATGAAATCACATTGTTCTGTAAAACTGCTGACCTCATTGTCGATGCAGCGGAATTGCCAGTGCCACTGTGTGTTGTAAAGGAAAGGACGGAGGTCAAAACGGTTATCATCTGGACTGTAGTTTTCAGCATGATAAGAGGGTGTTACTGTTGTCATCTTATGTCTGTTGATTGAGTACATCCTAAAAAAATGTTTCACTTTAGTAGCCACCTGCAAAACCCCAAAAAATGGCATTTGCAAAAACCATGGCATTGCTCTACTGGTCATAAAATAACAGTGGTCAAATATTAGTATTTACTGCTTTTAAAAGTATCAGGCACTATGAGTGCTGTAATGTTTAGGGCATGTTTGACCTGCGAGGGAGTGAAGGTCTCTTTCCATGAGTGAATCAGCTTGCAAAACATGCTGTATGGGCCACATTTGGAGATCTTCCTGAGTCTGCCAATCACAGATAGCTCTGAGTAGGTCATTCCCATGTCAGCCTGTGGGAGGGAAGCACAGAAACACATGTGTAAGGTCTCAGAGCTGTAAAACTATCTGTCTGCATGCACACTGTGATGGAAAAAGCACATAAGGGCACAGCAGCATAGTAAATATGCCCTATAAAAATAAGGCCAACTTGAACAAGTAAGTGGAAAACAAAAATAAATAAATAATAAAATTTTTTTAATTATACATAAATTAAAAATAAATATCCACAGTACTTTGTAATAATATCAGACATCAGACAGATTCTCATTTCACTCAATTACAAATCCTAAACTGATTTATTTACTACAAGATATATAGAATAAATATAATGTATATTTTTTACTTCACCTAAATCTGAATAGTTTAAATGTCCTAAAATATAATATTAAATAAAATATTAAAATGAAAAACAAATTGAAAGTCACTAATTAAACATAATTTTAATTGCTATTTGACCATTTTGCCAAAGTTGGTTCCATCCCTACCACTTTTTAAAAGCCACTAAAAAAATAGCTGAAGCCACGTAGGCATATAATTTAATACATATATGTAACATGAGACACATTTGCACCATCCAGTGATTAAAGTGAAGTAAACAGAATATTTTTTTTATTTACATACATTTAGATTAAATATACCAAAAACGTGACATGAATGCAAGCTGTAGATTAAAATATCAGTAATGGATGCAATGCTTTTGGATTATGTTTTCCCATAACGTGCTAGATGTTTAATGACAACAAGAATTGCTTGTGATGATTCTGCTTTGTGTTTCAAACTGCAGAAATCACATGAATGCAAAGAAAAGCAAAATCAGCTTGACTGAGAAGATGGCTTAGAAAAATACACAGCCTACTGCAGGAGTCATATGGCTGTCAAACAGTATATTAGCCAGTTTAAATATATGTCAGACAGTACTGGACATCTATCGCCACACACAGTTGTGCACAGTCCATTGCACATTGGGGGAAGTTGTGGCCTAATGGTTAGCGAGTCGGACTCGTAACCCAAAGGTTGCGGGTTCGAGTCTCGTACCTGCAGGGATTGTAGGTGGGGGGAGTGAATGTACAGCGCTCTCTTCCACCTTCAATACCACGACTGAGGTGCCCTTGAGCAAGGCACCGGACCCCCAACTGCTCCCCGGGCGCTGCAGTATAAATGGCTGCCCACTGCTCCGGGTGTGTGTTCACGGGTTGGGTTAAATGCAGAGCGATAATTCCAAGTACAGGTCACCATACTTGGCCACATGTCACATCACTTTCATTTTTTCACATCCCGTCTCAATCAATTACAATGACTTATAAATGCAGTTCAAGATCTCATTTTTATCAGTGAATGAGGTTAACTATGTTTACCTCATCAGTCTGGACGATCTTGCCATCAGTCAGTGGCTCAAGCTCTGCAGTTGGTGGAGCATCCAAAATGCTGTACAGAAGATGGGTACCAAATCAGCATATTAGAATGATTTCTGAAGGATCATGCGACACTGAAAACTGGAGTAATCACTACTGAAAAAGCAGTGTTGCCATCACAGGAATAAATAACATGTTAAAAATGTATTCAAATAGAAAACAGCTATTTTAAACTATAACATTTTTAATATTACTGTTTATACTGTATTTTTGATCAAGTAAATGCAGCACACACACACACACAAATATATTTCTCTTTTTTATCATGCCTAAACACTGTGTTTTTCAGGCTGGCCATGCATATTAGTTAAGAAAAAAGCATTTCCCCCATTCATTTTTCAGAGTGGTCTGCCTCCCCTTAAACTGTTGCTCTTTTAATTTTCACTCAATGTGATTTTTTCAGTTTTGTTGGCCAAAACAATCAAGATTATGTAACTACATCAGTTATTTGATCAGCAAATGTGCACCAAAAGGAAGGATTACACACCTTATGAGGGCAGTGAGATGGAAGCGTTTTACACAGTACTGCAAAAAGCACTTCAGGTCCATCTTACTAACACCTCCAATGGGATTGATATCAGCACTGGAGCAGTCATACTTTGTGAAGTATCCAGTCAAGCTGCAAAGACAAAGAATACTTTCTTTTAAGCAACCTTCATTACTATTGACAGTTGGATACTGAAAGAAAGAACAACATAAAGACACACCTCTCATCCACGTTTGCTGAACCAAGAACTAAGAGACCACCAGGTTTTCCCTGAGCCCACAGATACAGCTGGGCAAAGAGGTAGGCCAAAATCATCCTGATACGAGCCTGTATTGGAGTAAACATACACACACATGCATCATGCACATACATCAGAATTTTGGATTCAAAAGGATCTGCAGTAACACTTTACAATAAGATTTCATTTGTTAACATTAGTTAACGCATTATCTAAAATGAACTAGCAGTAAACAATACTGTATTTTACTTTCAATTTTGTTCATATTAGTTCACAGTGCATTAACTAATTTTAACAAATACAATGTTTGATCCTAATGTAGTATTTAACGTTGCGTAATTATTAAACTAATAATAATAAATGCTTTAGAAGTCCTGTTAACTGTTAGTTCATGTTAACTAATGTAGTTAAGTAATGTTAACAAATTAAACCTGTGTTGCCAGATATTCCACAGTACAAGTAAAAAAACACATGCAGGTGTGAAATGAGAGGTATGGTATTCCTAATCTGTCGCAAAATCACCATATTTCTTCATTAATGGATCATTTAAATTTTCCTCAAGTAACCTTAGTTCATGTTTCGCTGACCAGTATGACAGTGGTCTTAAACTTTCATATACCTACCTATTGACAATTGTTTGGAAATATTTTGGAAAAGCAAAAGTTTTTTAGCAATCAAACAGGGGTTTGCAAGGGTGTTAGGGGCTCTGCAAAAATGTTGAGTGAAAAACATAAAAGATAATTATTTAAACAATTTTAAAATCTGTCAAAGTTAACATGTCAAGATATTAAATGTTCAATGCAAACATTTTTTATACATTTATAAAAATTTGATATTATTACCATTTCATTTTGTGTTAAAAAGACAAGTTGGAAATCATATCATCGACTGATCATGATTATTTGATTATTTTGATGTGACCACAATATGAATACAATTTGATGATGCATTTATTTGTTCCTAGTTTTTGCTCACCACTGTCTTGATCACTAGGGGTTTTAGGGCAATAATGCTGATAAGGAACAATTCTAATATTTATTGTGAAAAGCACTATTCAAATAAATTGGAATTGAATAAAATTGCCACTGATATGACTAGAATGTGAGAATTCATCTCGTGTGAGTTTACATTATCATAGCAGTCAAACTGCTATTTATTTCTTTGCAAACTTTTGTTTAAGTGGTTAAATTACTTTTAAGAGCACATTATACCACTTTCAAAGCTGTGACATCATAAATGTCTAAATGTCTTAAATAGGTTCTAATCAGCATTACTTTGCCAATCTAAAGCACAAGCTATTTTCTTGGAAAGAGTTGCATAATGTTAGTATGTTAGTTCAATCATGACAACTCTCTGAAGATTTTAGCATGGTGATGGCTATGACCATGTTAATGTATTTGGTCTTGGCGGAACAGATCTGCTACGCTGCTGCTGAATTGCTGCTGCTGTTGGTTATTGCTGTAGTTGTAGATTATTGCTGCTGCTGCAAGCAAGTACAGGAACTTGCTACTGCCAATGCATACAGCGATACGGTGCCGTGAGTATTTAAGACATGCTGCTGCTGCACAAATAGCATATAAAATAACCCGTAGCAGATCTATACAGGTGGAGCTGGGGAAGGTGGAGGGTTTCAGAGAAACTCTAAAAGTGCGCTGCAGGAATCTCTAGAGAATGCTAGCCAGCCATATAAATGCAAAGCAGTAAGCTCATTGGCTGCATATGCAGCATGAACCAATCAGCTTGTGCCAAGTCGTTTAACTCTCTGAATATCATCATTTACGTTAACAACCCGTCAGCCTGCGCCATCTAGAGTTTCATGACTGAACTATATATTTATGTTTTAAAGTAGTGAAGGTAGAACTCAAACTCAGCAAATTTGCAGGTCGTTTGATGCTTAGGGTGACTAACTGTAATATTTTTCTGTGAAAACTGTGGTGGTTGTGTTACAATGCAAGCAAACTGCATATAAAAAAGTCAGCAAATTAGCATCACTTTGACAGAAACTGCTTTCTCAAGCCCGCGCTTTTGTGATGTCGTGGGTCAATGCAAGAACCATATAAAACAAGCATCTTCAGCAACAAGTCAAATCAAAATGCCCATCAACAACTACATGTAACAATCTTAGTATTGCACATTCAATGTTAGTGCATAAGGTTTTTTTTTTATTATTATTATTAATTCTGAGACTCTCATGGTGGTCAACCAAAGTGTTAACCAAGTCTTTGCAGAAAATATGCAAGTCACTAATAAAAAAATCATACATTTATTAATAGCATCAGTGTCTATGATGTACCTGGACGTTCTGCAGTGCCAGGTTCTCTCTGGCACTTCCTCCATTAGCACGAAACTGAGGCCACTTCCCTGTGACCATAGAGAAGATTCCCAGTATGCCTTTTACTGCCAAGTCAATATTGATATTTAGGTGATTGCTGAGAGGAGAACAGATAAAAAAAATCTACATTTTCATATATATTACTTTTTATAATAATTGTATATTAAATAATTACAATCAGAGAAATATACTATTAAAATTATAATATAATTGTAAAAATTATATTATTCTAATGATTATTATTATTCATGTGATGGAAAAACGTTTCCAAATTTCCAAATTTTCGGCATCATTACTCCAGTCTTCAGTGTCACATGATCCTTCAGAAATAATTCTAATATGCTGATTTGCTGTTTATCAAGTATTATCAATATTGAAAACAGTTTTTGCTGCTTAATATTTTTTATGGAAACTTTGATCAATCTTTTTCAAGATTCTTAGATGAACAGTTCAATAGAACAGCATTTATTTGAAATAGAAATATTTGTAACATTATAAATGTCTTTACTGTCACTTTTAATGCATCCTTACTGAATATAAATATTAATTTACCTTTTTAACCCACATTTTTGAATGTTAGTGTATCACAGCTTCCACAAAAATATTAAGCAGCAACAACTAAATACTGGAGTAACGACTGCTGAAAATTCAGCTTTGCCATCACAAAAAATAAATTACATTTTAAAAATATATTAAAATAGAAAACAGTTCTTTTAATATGTAATAATATTTGACAATATTACTGTTTGTACAGTCATTTCAATCAAATAAATGCAACCTTGGTGAGCACCAGAGGCTTCTTTTTAAAGACATTAAAAATGTACTAGATGCCATGTCATCCACTGACCTGCCGATCTGAGCAGCGAGGTCTTTGGCTCTGTTGCGAGTGTCTTCAGAGGAGTTTTCACTAGCCATGTAGCATGTGGTAAAGAGGCGTCCACACAGCTCATGTGGGTCCTCAGGCCTGTAGGACGAATCGCTGACCACCCGCTGCACATCCTCCAGAACCTGAGAATCTGAGACCAATGGGAAACATGTTTAGAGGATAAGCTTTAAATTAGCGATCTGTTTGAGGGTGCATTAATGTGCACCTCCACTAGAGAGCAGCAAAACATGTCTGTTGATGTAATATGAAAATTAAGAGTCTTCCACAAGTGAAAATGCTTCTACTTTGTATTGTTATTTTGTCATGTAGAAACTGTAACTGTAATTAAAAAATATATTTTTTCAAAAAATTACAAATTATATTATTTGCATAACAATTTGAATGAAAAGCAGAAGCGAAAAATTCTTTAAAATAATTATTCTTTTTACATCTATATACTATATAATGTTTTAAACTGTTCAAAAATCATTGAATGTTCCGTTTGTTTCTAGAAAAAAAAAAAACATTTTCAATGTGGTCTCTGCCGTTTATACGTAATTATGTGTGTACATTTACAAAATTGTACTCGCCCTCAGGGCATCAAAGATGAGTTTGATTCTTCATCGGAACAGATTTGGAGAAACTTAGCATTACATCACTTGCTCACCAATGGATCCTCTGCAGTGAATGGGTGCCGTCAGAACGAGAGTCCAAACAGCTGATAAAAACGTCACAATAATCCACAAGCAATCCACACGACTACAGTCTATCAATCAATCCATGTTCTGTGAAGTGAAAAGCTGTGTGTTTGCAATAAACAAATGATGTTTTTAACTTTTTAAACCGTTGCTTTAGGCTAACATATGAGTTCTCTATCCATAATATTGCTCTCTCCAAAGAAAAAGTTGCCTCGTATGTATCAGGAGAGAACATTTTTACAGATCAAGTATTGTTTACAAATGAAAAGTCCAAAACAGTTCTAAACAAATATGTCAATGGATTTTGATGTCAGGACATGAACCTGTGTTATCATGGAGTCGATTTAAAGTTAAAATGGTTTAAAGTTAAAATGTATTAATGGTGGATTTGTTTCTTACAAGCTTTTTACTTGACAAGACTTTAACTGATGGACTGGAGTCGTCTGGATTACTTGTGGATTATTGTGATGTTTTTATCAGCTGTTTGGACTCTCATTCTGACGGCACCCATTCACTGCAGATGATCCATTGGTGAGCTACAAAGGTGATGTAATGCTACATTTCTCCAAATCTGTTCCCATGAAGAAACAAACTCATCTACATCTTAGATGTCCTGAGGGAGAGGAACTTGTCAGTAATTTTTTATTTTTGGGTGAACTTTTCCTTTAAATGTAGAGATCATATATGTAGGTTCATTTTTTTCCCTGTTGAAGTTACCTGATCTCTTCTTCTGGGGTGTGGAAAATCCACTCCACAGGCTGATGTGTGGGCAGACACCTGTCATCACAGTCAGACAGAGAGAAGTCTGTTTTGATCCTCTGATAAGGTTTGTGCTCATATTCCTGTGCAGTAAGAAAAATATTTAAGGCATGTTTTGACACTTCAAACTCTGATGTCTTTTAAAGTTGCTCACCATGTGTGGGTGACACCTCTCTCCTCGATAGCTCCGAACATCTTCCAGATCAAGAGTGGCTGTGACAACCTCCTGCAAGCCAGAAAAAATCTGACTGATCAAACTGAAATCTTCAGCATGTTAATAATCACAGTCACTTGGGCGAGTTTCAATATTCAAGTAAGTGTGAATTGGCACATACTACATCCTTGAGTGAGAACTGCGCTCCTCTGGCAACAATATCTCCATTGATGGCAATCATAGCACACCCGTCGTAGTACAGACGGTCTCCATCACAACCCTTCTGATTGGCAAATAGATAGATCCCTCCACTCTGAAACAAACATATTCTATATATAAGGCTCATTGTCACACTATCACTAGATAGACACTATCTTTACAAAGGCCACTTGAATATGGATTCATTAATATGTACTGTAAAAAGTTGGCTGTAGCCTATCTATTTGCTCATAAATGCAGTGATAATAATAGTGTAACATGTTATTACTATTTAAACTGTTTTCTATTGTAATATGATTTAAATCATTCAGAAATATTAATATAATCTGTTTACCTTAGTGGTGGCAGATTTGACCAAGTTCACCCTGTGGTCAGCCTTACGTAGCTCATGGTAGCTTGCAGAGGAATTGGTAAAGATCTCAATACCATCTAAACCCATGTCAACATGTGGACTAAAGAAAGAAGAAAAAGAAAGTTTAATTTCTCAAACAAAAGCAATTTATGGAACTACATTCATGTTTTATTTCACCAGATTGTAGCATAACATAGAAAAAACATGTCTAAATGTCCTCTGCAGGACATTAGGAAAGGATTTAAGACAATAATTTATGAGATTATTGTTTGCAGATCATTACCTCCTGGGGTTCCACAGCTCAGCACAAATCTCACTCCCTATGCAGGTGTCCTTGGTGGACAGCACCCCATCTCCAAACGCCACTGTGGTCTATCAGTGAGGACAGATTAGATTATTATTTATGCCAAATAATGTGTCCCTGCAAATATACATATACATGTAGAATAAGAATATAATTCTTTTTGGTACTTTAATTTTTAATAATGGTTCTTATTATTATCAATGTTGTAATCAGTCTTTGCGGCTAAATATTTCTGGATTCTTTCTTCTGTCAGGATTCTTTCATGAACAGAAATGAAAAAGAACAACATTTGTTTGAAATAGAACGTTTTTCTAACATTATAAATGTCTTAACTGCCAACCGTCAACTGTCTCAACTGTTTAAATCTTACTTATACCAAATTTTTGAATGGTTGTATACCACAGTTTCCAAAAAAATAAAAATAAATAATATATATATACTGTATATATATTGAAATTTTCACCAGATGTCGGTAACAACCCAAGTAATCCATACATACAAAGAAAACAAAACAAATAAGTTCAGAAATTAAGTTATGTGTAATAAAATAGAATGACAAAGGGAAAAAGTATTGAACACATGAAGAAAGGGCTGTGCAAAAAGGCACGGAAAGTCAAGACACCAGCTGAAATCTATCAGCAATTAGAACGCAATCTTGCCCCTAGTCAGTGGAAATTAATATAAGCTGGTTCAGTCCCAACACCTACAGTACCAGGATGATGAAGATGAAACAAGGGCGGACATTTCAGCAAGACAATGATCCCAAACACAGCCAAGGAAACCCTCAACTGGTTTCAGCGAAAGAAAATAAAGCTGCTAGAACGGCCCAGCCAATCACCTGACTTGAATCCAATAGAAAATAAGAACTAAAGATCAGAGTTCATAGAAAAGGCCCGCAGAACCTTCCAGATTTGAAGACTGTTTGTGTGGAAGAATGGGCCAAAATCACACCTGAGCAATGCATGCCACTAGCTTCTCCATACAGGAGACGCCTTGAAGCTGTCATTACCAACAAAGGCTTTTGTACAAAGTATTAAATAAATTTCAGTAGAACAATACTTTTTCCCTAAGTCATTCCATTTTATTACACATAACTTAATTTCTGAACTTATTTGTTTTGTTTTATTTGTATGGATGGATTGCTTGGGTTGTTACCAACATCTGGTGAAAATTT